AGGTGCAAAACCTGTTTGAAGAAATGCTTCAGAAATGCAGAAAAAAAGATAAAATCTTAAAAACATATAGACAAAAAGATAAAATCTTCGTTTTTATATCAAAAATTTSGCATTTTTTAGTCAAAATTCTCAAWTTTTTTYATGAATTCAGAATTCCAAATGCAACRTTCTGATTGGTCGAAATAATCGTAACTTCAGACACGGACCAATCACAGTCTTGCTCTTGGAATCTCAAGTTCATTGACGCAACATTAGAAAAAAAAAATACAAAAAGGACTCGCAAAAACTTAGATTATGTAACAAAAAAAAAACAATTTTGGTTTAGTTTTTTATTATTTTTTTATAAATTAGTTTAATTATGAATAAATTTTGCTTAACTTTAAGCCGTTTTTTCCCTCATCGACGCCGAAAAAGTAAGGTTATGTAACATCAACATTCCAAAAATAAACAAAAAATACTCCAAATTGTTAATTTTCGTAGTTTTTTGCCATAAAAGCGCTCAAAATGTAATTAAAAAACTCAATTTTGCGATTTTCTGGGATTTATCATAATTTTGAAACTGACAATTAAAAAAAAAATGAAACGATAGTTTCAGTGTTATTTAACACTGTGTTAGTAATTTCCTCGCCTAAAATGTTACTAAAATCGTAAATTGTAATTATTGAGTGACAGTTTTGACATTTATTTATGTTGGTAGCACACATGGCGGTAAATTTGAATCGCATGTTATTTTTTCAGGTCAAAGGCCCCACAAATGCGACGAATGCCCCAAAGCCTTCAAACACAAGCACCACTTGACCGAACACAAGCGTCTCCATAGTGGTGAAAAGCCATTTCAGTGTGTGAAATGTCTGAAACGTTTTTCACATTCTGGGTCATACAGTCAACACATGAACCACCGATACTCCTATTGCAAGCCCTACAGAGAGTAGATGGGGGCCCCAAACCGGTCCCAGTACTTAGAGACTTGTACCACACCTCTTGCCACGCAAATTCTAATGTAAATAGTATTTAAAAAAAAAAAGAGAGTTTATAATTGGTTTTGAAAAATACTTGTCTGGTACCTGTATAAAAATACTCAGCAACTCGTATACAGTTTTGTGCCAGCAGAATCACAGTCTTCCACCTGTGGGTGGGGTGGTAGGGGGGCACCAATCGGATGTGCAATGCCGTAGTTGAGTTATTGTGATTGGAATATTTAAAATATTTTTTTATTGTAGATAATGTAAAATAAAAAGTGTTGCTTTCGAAGTGCCATATAGCCTTTGTGTGATTGTAGATTGGTTTCGGAACATCGATATTGATAGTTTAATATGCCTTTAGTTGATAAACAGTACAATAAGGGGGCGTTTCATGACAATACGTAGTAACCAAACAATACAATGAACAAATGGTGCAACTCGTTACTCACTTTTATAATAAGCTAGCATTTAAAATAACAGCGGTGATTGAGTTACCAGGTTTTAGAGTACTTTAATGAAAGAAACCATTCCAAATTGTGTACCTAAGATTATTGATTATTTCCAGCGTGTGACTAAAGGATAAGATTTATTGTTGACAATAATGTAGCCATTTGATATAAACCTATTTACTTAGTACTGCTAATGTTAATTCATAAAGTAGCATTTATTAAAGAATTCTCAAGGTATGTGAGACTTTTCGAATATTAAATATGTATACAACATTATATGATATTAAAGGAATATAAATTTTAATAATTACTTAAGATATTCTACGATTTCAGTGTATAGCTATTTCTGTACATATTCAATGTTTCTCTCTCTTTCTCTTTCTCTTCATTTTCTAGTGCATGTCCTCTCTTTCTATTATCGTAATTAGTTCTATTTTGCAATATTGTTGTGTGTAATATTTTTATTTTATTTGTTAACTAAATGTAAATTTTTTACCATTACCATGGCTAGTATAACCAAAGATTTTGTAACATATTAGTTTATTATTTTTGTTTTCATTTAAATGTCCAATTCACATTCTTTTTGTTATAATTATATTTTTTTACTTTCTAGATTGTCTCTTGTAAAAATGGTGATTATAAAGTATGTCTGTGTCAAATTCTATTATGAAAAGTTGGAAATTGTATTTTACTCGATACAAATAAACTATAAATTGCCATCATTAAGACTTTCTCTCACCGGAAATTCACTTTTTCCCCTGACTTATGCAACCAATAATCCACCTCCAATTAAAAACTCGTTCAAAATTAGATTTTGTATTTTAAAATAATAGAATTATTAGAATTTTGGTATTTAAAAGACTGGAATCTTAGTTAAAAAGTTAAACAAAAAAATGTTTTTTTTTAATTTTGTGCCATGATTTTTTTTTTAATCATACACAAACTTTGGAAAATATTAAATAATTGGTTTTGGGCTTTTTTAACCGTTTTTTACTCAAAATGTACAAAAAAATTACATTTTGTAACTTAAAATAATAAAATTATAAGAATTTTGGTATTTGAAAGAATGGAATCTTAGTTAAAAAGTTAAACAAAAAAAAAATGTTTTTTGTTTAATGTGCCATGATTTCTTTTATTTATAGACAAAAACTTTGGAAAATATTAAATAATTAATTTCGGGCTTTTTAACCTCACCGACGCCAAAAAAAATGGAACAAAAATACATAAAAAGCACAATTTTGGAGTTTTTTACTTGGAATAACCACTAGTTTGTTTAAAAATCACTAAAAGCAATAATGACCAATTTTTGCAGCTATAAAATAATAAAATTCTTTTAAATTTTTTGATTTAAGATAACAAGATCTTCAAATTTTGTTATTTAGGAGTGTTTTTAAGGTAAATCCCCTCAAAATTTACAAGTAAACTATAAATTGCCATCATTGCAATTTTCTCGTTCCAAAAATGCATTTTTCTTATGCAACCAGTAATACTGTGAAAAAAAATTATACAACACGCATAAAAAATTACGCAAATTGTACTTTTCTTGATGCAAATAAACTACAAATTACTGTGGTTGTGACTGTTTATAAAAAAAATAAGTTTTTTACTTTAAATTTAAAACCGGCTTATGCAACCAATAATATAGCATCAAAAAAATTTGAAAAACTACAACTTCGTAACTTTTCTTTTAAATTTAACAAAATGAGACTACTTTTAAAACAAAAAAAGTGTTCTACTAAAAATTCCTGTTTTTTAAAACTATTACAAATAAATTACATTAACGAAAACGTGAAATTTTGAAACCTGTTTTAACAAAAACCAAGGCTCAAAAACACCTTTTTCGACTTAAAAAAACCGGAGACTTAATTCTAGACAATTAATCTAACAATTCCGCTCCGTTTTAAAATTGTAATCAAATTTCGATTTTTAGCAATTTTTTTATTTCTTATTTAGTTTCCCTTTAAAAATCCAAACAATGCTTTTCTTAATGCACAACAAATCGGTGCTTTAATTTATATCCAATTTGTGGGCCTAGAAATAACAAAAACTGTCTTTTTTTGTAAAAAATTAATAAAAAAGCTATTTCGACAAAAATAAGGTTTAAAGAAACACGAATACAAACTCTAGATTCGTAAAATAATCTACGCAATCCAATTACGTTGAAAAAACCCCAAAATTCCAAGTTTTTCAGAAGTTATAAGAAAATTTCAATTCAATTTCAAATGTTTTTCACCAATTGCCATCTTATTTACCACTCAAAAACTACAAATTATACGTTTTCTGAGTCTAAATCACGTCGAAATCATAATAATATAAACATTGTGACACTTTCTTAAGCAAAAAAGCGTTTTTTTAGCAAAAAGTTTCTACAAAAAAAAGTTGGGTTATGTCACATCATCAAAAAGTTTTACTCATTTTTCCGGAAAATTGACACTCGGGGAAACACAAAAATGGCAAGTTCTTATGTAAAATGTCTCAGAGCCCAATTCAGGTAAAAAAACCCTGAAAATTCCAGGAGTTACGAGATAACCGTTTTGACCAATTTTTTGCAAAACACAAGCTTTTTGCACAAAAAAACCTGTTTACGACGCAAAATGGGGCAAAGGCTTCGTTCTTGTCCAATTATCACCACAAAAACAGGCATTAACGTAAAAAATCGAGCAAAAAAGTGAGGTTACGTAACCTAAAAACAAAAACTTCAATTTCGTTATTTACACAGTAATTACCAATGTTTTCGATTAAAATAGCCCAAAACTGGATTCAGGGACACTAATTTCGCCCCAAAATTGATGTAAATCCCATCAATTTCGAGCTTGGGTTTGTTTTATCACGTCCAATTGAAACGGCCAAAAAGAGCGCCACGTTTGAAATAAATCAGTCATGTGATTGGCTCAGCCAATCAAAACTGCCAGACAAACCGCCACATTTGAAATAAATAATTTTATTGAAAACAATTAATTTACAATAGATAAGCTGATAAATATTGGTAAAATACAGTTAAACTAAATATAGGGCTCTGACCAGTATTTAATAGTACTCGTAGTGTACAAATTCGCCTTGACCTTGGACCTCAATTTGATATCTTTCGGTTTTAGCATACTTTTGTGGTTACTGAGGAGTCTCGAGGGGGTTAAAATGGCCTTGGAGCTCAGCCCCGTGCACTCCAAGAAGTGTTCATACGTCGGTTGAGTCTTCAATTCAACTGAACTCGCGTCCAAATCCTCGGATTTCGCCTCGTCCACATTGTACTCCTCAATCTCACACTCGTCGAGTTTGAACTCCTCAAAATTCTGACTCAAATCAAAATCCGGTTTTTTCTCCTCCTCCTCCTCAAATTGTCGTCGAATTTCCGACAAAGTTTGATTATTAAAACCGGAAATGAGACTCGAAACTGACGTCCCCATGACAATGGAACGTCGAGGAGACTCAAATTTTTTATTTTTCAAAATTTGCGAATTATTTTTAACATAGTTATCGTGACTGATCCTCTCTTGTTTCTCCTCCTCGTCGGGGATGAGGATTTCGGACACTTGGGGGAGTTTGGGGATACTCGCGAGTTGCATATTTATTTTTTCCACGCATTTTTTCACGAGATTTTCGTCGTGCTTTTTGCTCTTTGTGATGACGTCCTGGGAGTTGGGGGGGTTGATTTCGGCCACGACGGCGATCCTCCTCCCCACAGGGGGGAGATTGAGTTCGGAAATGGAGCAATAGTCGGGCTCCGACTCCGCACTTTCACTCTTTTGAGGTTTGAATTTGAGTGTCAAGTTGGCGGGTTTGGGAGGGAGGGCTGGAGGAGGAGGCTTCTTTTTGGGGAAACTCTCCGATTTACTCAAAATCTGCTCATAATCGTTGCTATAGACACTTTGAGGGGTTTCGTAAAAATTGGGGATTTTCTGAATTGGGGTTTCGTAATACTCGACATTTTCTTTAGTTAAAGTCACACTTTTCGTTTCCTCATCCTCAAATTTGACTTTTTTGAGTGATTTTCGTTCGGTGTTTGGCGTTTTTGGAGGTGAATTGATATTTTGTAGTAGAATTTGATTCATGCATTCCAAGACCGGATTATTCCGGTATAAGTCCCTTTGTTCATCATCATCCGGATCACTAGCACTCGCATACCAATTATTATTGGTTTCCTCACCCTCAAAAACCGGAATTGACTCACTAATTTTTGTTTTCTTCTCCTCGTCGCCACTCAAATCACTCAAATTGTCATTTAGCACCTCAAAGAAACTCGTCCGGTGCTGAAACATTTTCAGTTTCAGCTCGCCTTTCGCCTCGTCGGTGGAGATGGACGCGTAGAGGTCGCTACTCGAGTCCACATATTCGGAACTGCTGTCCAAACTCTCCAGATTTGGACTTGCGCTGCTGTAGTACTGATTGCAGTTTTTGCAGTATTGATTCGCGAGGAGTTTTTTGATTTCAGTGCTTTGTTTGTGGATGATGTAGTCCTTTTCTTTCAGTTGGTGGCTGATGAATTTCTGTTCTTGTTTCAGGCGGGATTCGAAGATGATGAGGGCGCGGAGGACTTTGGCGAGTTGGTTGTCTCGAAGGGCCTTTTCGTTTTGGTATTGGAGGTCTTTTTGTTGGAGTTGGAGGGTGTATTCGGTGACCAGTTGGCGGCAGCGTTTGGTTTGGAGTTTGAGGGCTTTTTGGACGATTTCGAGTTCGGAGCGGATGGACGCGATTTGGGCCTCGCTGGACGCCATCTGGAAGGAGAAGAAAATTAAAAACTAAACTAGAGTTGCAAAAAATGGCAAAAATAATAAATAAAACAGTTTAGAAAAAAATGTCGAATATTAAAATTGTTAAAAATAGAATTGCTTATTAAGAATTTAAAAAACAAAGAAAAAGAAAAGGAGTAGAATACAAAGTGTAAATGAAGAAGTAAAAAAATCATAATTAAAATATAGGAAAGTGGTGAAAAGTTAAAAAACGAAAGTGAATGCTTAAAAATAAATACAATGGTAAAAACGTAGAAAAAAACTGGGAATGGAAAAAATTAAAAAACAAAAACTATATTTTTAGTTACAAAAGTTTACAAAAAATGTAAAAGAAGGAAAAAAAAGAGAAAATAGAATACAAAGTAAAAAAACCCCTAAAAATAAAGCAGATAAAATAATAATAATAATAATATATTTTAGTTGTATTAATAAAGAAAAATAAAAATAAAATAAAAAATGTAAGAGTAAAGA